AATTCTTCCTTCAAATCAAAGAAAGTCATAGGTAATTTAGTTTGAATAAAAATTCTAGAGGAACTTCTTTTGTCTATAGTTGGGTCTAAAACCCCATTCCAGTCACCCATCAAAATTACCGATTTATAATCCAACTGAGATATCTTGCCATGTAGCAACTTATAAAATTGTTTCTGTTGTTGATTGGGAGCATATAGTCCAACAATAAGAATCTTTCGGCCTTGTAATAATAATTCCACAAAAAGATATCTTCCTCCAGAATCAGCCTCAATTAGTTTAGCTGAAAAAGTTTTCTTCACATAAATTACCATTCCCCCTTTTTTCCCAGGGGCTGGAGCAGTAAAATGTGTGCCCAGACGGGAATTCATCAAGAATTTAGAATCCTTTAAAGTTATATGAGTCTCCTGCAAACATATCAAATCATTATTATATTGTTTCAAATAATGGAAAATCTTTCTTCGTTTCTGGGGCACGTTTAAGCCATTAACATTCCAGGTCACGAACCTGACCATCTCCACAGGCCTGGAGCCTCTGGAGCATGGCCTGCAGATCTGCTGTCGAGGATCTTTTTGGTCTTGCCCCTCCCACAGGCTCTGTAACAACCAAACTTTCACCACTCTTCTGCAACTGCTCTTTTTCTTTACGTTTATGGGCAGCTCGTGTCATCCTTTGCTCTTTTATGTCAGAATTCGGTGCAGCTTGTTCCATAACCATCATTGATGAGGCTCCTGCCATAAGAGACTCTTCCGTCATCCTTATTTGTGGAGGTGGTGACAATCTTGCTTTTAAGATAGACTGATAAAAATCTCTTGCTTTGGAAACAGTAGTTAATCTGTGACGTATCCCTTCATAATTTACTATTATTCCTCTTGGAATCTCCCATCTGAACTGAATTTGACGATGTTTCAACTCATCAGACAAGAAAGTAAAATCTTTTCTGGCTCTTAAAATTTTTGGAGGTATCTCTTTTAAAATTATCACGTCTTGATCAGCAATTTGAAACTTTTGTTTGTAAAAAGCCTGTATAATTTCATTACGGATAGATCTTCTAGAAAAATAAATAACCACATCTCTTGGTAGATTTCTCTGTCTAGCAACCCGTGAATTAACTCTAAAAAATTTTTCTATCTCATTCTCAATTATTTCAGGCCGCCAGCCAATATTAGGAGCAATATCTTTCACAATAAGCATCTTTAAGTCTTCCTGAGGGTTATCCCTCAGGCCTCTGATACGCAATGCGTGTTCCATCGCCCTATATTGTGAAATGATTTGTTCATCCTGTGTAATTTCTATCTTGTTCTCTACCTCCTGCATTCTAAATTCCATTCTTGCTGCATTTTCAGTAGTCTTTTCCATCTGGTCATCAATCCTTTCTATGTGCAGGGCTAAGCCCTGAAAGGCCAGAAGGATATGGTCTCTTACTTGTTTATTCTTTTTCTCCAATAATTCTTCTGTATTAGCCCTCTCTGCAATTATAAGATCTTTTACCTCCTCCTTAATATCCAAGGCATGCTGTTTTAAAGCATCTTGTAAATCATTAAGAGAAATTGCAGGAGGAGGAGGAGAAGGTGGAGGTGATTTTGGTTTCTGAGATGCAGGCTGAGGCATTGGAGAAGAAATAGGAACCTTAGGGGCGGGAGGCAGACGTTTTGAAGCCATTTTCTTAAGTTCCAAGAAGAAAGATTCTTATTAAAAAAAAAAAAAAAGGGCACAGTTCTTTTAAGTATTCTTAAAAAAAAGAGAAAAAAAAATAGTGAAAAAAAGAGGAAAGAATAAAAGCCAGATTCTTACTTCTGTATTTAAAGAGTTAATCTGTATCCAGGTTTTACTCTGTAATGCAAATCAGGCAAGAAAGACGATCGCCATTTTACTTTTCACTTTCCCTTTCTTCTAAAGGGAAAGTGAACAAAAGAAAAGGAAGAGGAAACTTGCTGAAGTTAAAGGCACCATCAAACTTGAGCACAGTCTCTCCTGGTCTGCTCCGTCTGCTTTCAAATACTCACAAGCAACTGGAAAAAAAAGCAGATGTGGAAGCGGCAACTTGCTTCATCCCAAAAGCTTCGGAATGAAGTCTCCCTGGAACGCGGAGTTGCTCAGGCTCCGAGGGAGCTCTACCCTCCGATCCCCAAAATAACAGGAATCCAGGGGAGCTCTTACCTCTACCTGAGAGCTCTCCTCCTCCCTTTTTCCCAGGGAGGAGATTTAAGCCGCGGGACAGCTGATTGTCAAAGTCCCGCGGCTTTTACACGCACCAGGAACGGGCGGCTTTGTAAAACGCCGCCATTCGTCATCGCTGGAACCACCGGAAGTCGATGTTACACATTCTCACGGCTGCTAGATTGGTGTATGCTCAAAACTGGAGGAATAAAGGAATTCCAACAGAAGAAGACATTATATATAAAATTTTATCATGTGCTGAAATGGATAGGCTCACAATGGAAATGAAGGATAAGACAGAATTAGACTATTTCTAGATCTGGGACAAATTTTATCACTGGTGTGAATCAAGGAGAACTGCTCGGGTTTTAAATTAGTGTTAAGATAGAATTATATATAACTGTATATATAACTGTATTGTATAGAAAATATGTTTATATAGAGATCAAGAACTATGTATTAATTACATGTATCAAGAGGAACAAATTGTTAGGAATATTTATTTTGGAATGTCACATTATGTCCATCTTGGTTTTTAACTGTGCTATAAAGAAAAAACTTTTTATAAAAATAAATAAATAAATATGAATAAATGTCTTTTAGTGAAGGCTATTTATTAAGCGAGAGTCAGTGAGTATTCACCTCCACAATCTTAAAAAGCAATTTCACCTCCCAGCTGTTCTCTCAGCTTTTAATCTCCTTTAGATAATACCAAGGTCAGATCTGGGCTATGAGCAGGTCTTTTTGTCAAGAATATTCACTTGTTGTACCAGGTTTCGCCACAAGATGTCCTCAATAGCATTTAAAATCTTTTTCAAATCCCAAGCTAGGTTTTTGTCCAATTTAAGTTCTCTTTCATCTTTTTTACAAGTAGATAGAGAGAGAAAAAGAAGCAGCCTTGGGAGGAGGTGGAGTCAGCTCTAGCTGCACTGAAGGGGAAGGAGGAGGGTGGGGGGGGAGAGGAGAGGAGATCAAGCAGGCCATGAGCCAATCTACAACTGCTGTGGCAGCCACCTGTCCTGGCAGCAGCAAACAGGCAAGAAATGCAGTGGGGGGAGGGGTTACCCTCCAGGAGGAATGAAAAAAGGCAGCAATGGCAGGAGGTGAGGCACGAGGGAGGGAGGGAGGGAGGGAGGGAGGAGGGAGGGAGGGAGGGAGATGGAGACTGGAAGGATTCTTATGTGCTTTTGTGACTGAAGTTCTCGGATTTGTGCAATGTGGGCTTTGTGTTCTTAAGGAGTGTTTGGCAATTTCTATTTGGCTGATGGCTGAAGTCTTGTGTTAGCTTCTATTGCTCTGTTATTGTTAACTGTATGTTTTGTTGCAAGGGATTTTGAATCATTTTTCTCCTGAATGGATTTTGACTGTAGCATTCCTTTACTTATGAATGGAGCCATTTGGGGAGGCTGCCTTAGCCGGCAGCCAATACTACATTTTTTTTCTTAAGTGCCCACTGCGCTCCTTAACTTTCTTTTCTAGCCAGTAGCTAATTCTTAAAGGGGAATGTGCCTTTTAAGCTAGTTCACTCAGCAGTTTGTCTTTTCTGTCTCTGGAGGCTTTTCCTTGTTTGATGACTATATGGAAGAGAGAAAATATAGGGGGTGGTTTCAAATTCTTCCTTCATAAGGAGGTGGGCATGAAAAAGAGGGAGGCAGGGAAGGAGAGAGAGAGGGAAGGAAGTCCCACCTTAGCATTTGGCCACCAGCAGCCCTGCCATTGACTTTGCTTGTCAAAAGGTTGCAAAAGGGGATCACATGACCCTTGGACACTATGACCATCATAAATATGAATCAGTTGCCAAGCATCCAAATATAAATCACATGACCCTGGGCATGCTGTAATGATCATAAGTGTGAAAAATGGTCATAAGTCATTTCAGTGCAATTGCAACTTTGAACAGTTTTTTTCTTGTCATCAAGTTTTTGACACATTGCTAGGGTGGTACTCGAATATTGCCATATCCTAAAAGTGGTACAGTCGTTAAAAAGGTTGAAAATCTCTGTTTTAGAGCTCCAGTCAAAACAACTTAGTAAGATAAAAAAAAACGAGGTTAAATATAGTTCTTGGTTTTGCTACTAGATGTCATTAGATGTCCATTCCCACCAAACTTTAAAAAGTTAAAAAATTAAAATCCGATGGTTTCCAAACAAGGGGAAAAAAAAGATTTATGCATGCAAAAATTTCCCAAATTATCCTTCTTTTATCCCTCAATTATCTTCACAATATAGTCAGTTTTAATTTCCCCAAAGCTTAGATCGCCGCTTAGTTCAGGAGGGAGGGGTAGAAAAAATCCCCCCTCCCTAAAGCTTGGGAATTTCTTGCTTTTGGGTGCTTTTTTTCAGAACTGGTATTTTCACTTGTAGAGAGGTAAGGAAAGTAGTCTCACCCAGATCAGCTGTTTTGCTTTCCACTTGTTACTATTCGTTGTCTCTGACAATCAGCTGCTTCTGGCTGATCGCATGGGTGCAGTCAGCCTTTCTTCCTGCTTGTCCCGAGGGCTACTTTGGATCAAGCGGGTCAGCTACCGCTGGCCCGCGAACTACAAAGTTTCACCCTTTGGCCAGTCGCCTCTATGGAGCGACTTTCGGTCCTGTTGGACCCCCCAACTGGTAGAAATTGGGCTTGGGGAACGGAGCTTCATTCACCTGTGGCCATGTTGCTGTGACATCACCAGAAACTCCCTGCGATGTCATCAGAAACTCCTACAAATTATTTAATATCCCTAGGATATGTCCAAAGTACCTTCTTGAGAATTACTTTTAGTTTAAAGTTTAAAAGAACCACTATTGTGGATTATACGTAGTTGTTCCATGTACTTACTTTGGATTTCTTCTTCATCGCAGGCCCTTCAAGCACTGCAGCGACAACCCAACGCAGCCCAATACTTTCATCAATTTATGCTTCAACAACAGCTCAACAGTGCTCAACTTCACAGCCTGGCTGCAGTCCAACAGGTGAGAAGTCAAGGCATGCTAGCTGAAAAAATCTGTTTGGAAAGAGAGAACCTCGGGACTGGAACTTCTGAGTGTCCCAAGTCTCCATCTTTTTCATCATGCTTTTCAGCATCTGCTTGAATTTGGATAATTGATTTCGAGTATATTAATATGCAGATGCTACTCAGTTCTCTCTTTAAATTAATCTCACAAATGCTATGGAACTTCTGAGTAATGTTTGGAGATAGTTTTCATCAATATTACATTAGAAGAATAAGAATTTCCCAGAATAGGAATGCCAATTTGGTCAATAGCCAGTTGCTACCAAGTTCTTGAGGAATAAAAAAAAGATGTACAGTAAGCTTTGAGAAAAGTTGGAAAAAAGCAGCACAAGATATAAATTGCAGTGGCTTTTAAAAAGAGCTGAAATTCTTAAGGGCATTCAGCTGCTAAGGGGCTTCATTTTATTAGACAATAAAGATTCTTAAATGTGTTGAGTGTTTATATAGCTGCTTTTGAGTTTGAGCCATGTTATCCACTGTCCACATGAGAGTGCAGCTTGTCTTATAACCCACTGTAATTTAAAAGTTTTTCCTGCCTTTCCTATAGCTTAATAGATAAGTAGCTTGATCTTTCTCCAGCTTGGAATTAGGTGGCAATTGGTTCTTGACATAATGGGCACTGCTGAGGGCAAACAAATTGTGGTTGAATTGGAAAACGGAAAATGTTTTGATTGCAGAACTGCTGTCTTAGGGGCTATGGCTTTTTAAACAATGTGTACGCAGCTTAGCTTTCCATAGATTTACTGCTAACTAGCAGCAGTCGATAAAAATAGTTAGGAGTTTACTTGGAAAATGTTGACATACCTTTCATATTAATAGATAGATAACCTTTTTGTCATTTTTTACTGTGGGTACAATGGCACACATTAAAAATGAAATTTAATTGCTTGCTCTCTAAGTGTATACACACACACACACACTTAAACATACTATATACAATATATGTACAGACCTACATCCTTACATATAAATAACATATACATATTAATCACAATATTATGTGTCAATGGTACAATGTCTGGGCTACTGTACTGTACTTGGGGCCATTTTCCAAATGGTTATGATGCAAAATATAGCCATTCACATATATAATGATATAAGGTAGGTAATTCATTCATATAACAGTTGTAGGCTGCATTGATACTGCACCATTAGATATGAAGTTTATCCACATTTCTGTCTGCTGAGCTTTGGGCCTTTTTGAGAGTAGTGATGGGAGCTTTTGATTGTTCTTACTGGTTGCTCACATGGTATAAATTTATGCCAGTTCTATGACTCTGAAAAAAACTCAAAAATTGCTCAGACTAATTAAGAATAACATAATGATCAAATCAAGAAATAGTCTGTTAAAACAATTGAGATCTCTATCATAATTTGCCCTTTCAGAAAGAATATATATTAATGAAAAGTTTAATTTCTCAGTTTTTTGTCTTTTTATCAGGGAGTACTTAATAATATACAGTATCTTAATTCTAATTTTTTAAAAAATATTTCTTGTAGGCCACAATTGCAGCCAGCAGACAGGCAGGCTCTCCAAACTCAAGTTCCCCTCAGCAGACAGCCACCACACAGGCTTCAGTAAGTAGAGTGACTCATGATTGTTTGTTTGGATACATTCTTGATTATGAATGAATATTTTCATACCTAAGTCTGGTATTTTGGAGTCTGAAAAAGTTGCTTGCTGTGTGAGTGAAGAATAATATTAGAATGAAAATGGAAAATATCTGTTTTGGAAAAATAATGGTTAGTGTGTGTGAATAAAGACATTTTTAAATGGGATACTTGACTATATGAGGAGGAAACTGCAGTTCAAATTAGGGTCATCAGAAAAAAAAGTTTTCCTTTACAGCAGTTTTGGACTGACTTTGGTTTTGTATGATGGTATTGTGATTTAGAAGGCTATTTTGCATGTCTTCAAATTACTGAAATTTTGAGGATATTGTGAGAGATTTCTGAGAGTGCTTGTTCCCCATTTTTTTTTCTCCCACTATCTTCTGCTCTCGGAAATAATGGGCTGTGCAGCACCCATTGCTTTTCTCTTTGATTCTCAGCTTCGGATCTTTGATTTTGTTTCATTACTAATAATTGCTTACAGTATATTAGCTATGGTATATGAAGATGATGAGAATTATAGCTAGCAATATCTGGAGATTAAATATAGGGAACTATTATTCCAGAACATATCTGGAATCCTGAAAGCTACAGAAAAGACATGAAATGAAAGTATGTAAGTAATTGCTGGACCTTCTTTGGTCTTTTTACTCACAAAGTTCAAATATTGTTTAGAAATTGCTTCCTTTTTGGTTTCCATTGCTATGAATTCACTTTTTTTTGCTGATTTTTTTTTTCATTTTACAGATTAACCTGGCTACCACATCAGCTGCACAGTTAATCAGTCGCTCACAAAGTGTGAGTTCACCTGGTGCCACGACACTGACACAATCGGTTCTTTTAGGGAACACCACTTCACCACCTCTTAACCAGTCACAAGCTCAAATGTATCTTCGGGTAAAACTGCATGCATTGTTTTCACTATAAATCCTCTTTGTCTTCTTGTTGTAGTCTGTCATGTCTCTCTCAGCCTTATAACAATCCAGCTGTGAGTTAGCAACCTCTAATCCCTTGAATTTTTCAATATATATATGTATGTATGAATGTGTGTGTGTGTGTGTGTGTGTGTGTGTGTGTGTGTGTGTGTATGTATATGTATACATACATACATACATACATACATACATACATACATACACTGCAGGGACAGAGGATCATTTAGAATTTTATTTTCTATGACTTTAAAGTCCCTATGGCACTTTCTGGGAGTTTGAGAACATTTTATGAGAACAAAGATGTCATCTTTTGTTGAATCTTAGCTGCAGCTCTTACATTCCTTTTAAAGCTGCTCTTGAGAAAATGCTCCCACTTCTGCTGTTTAGAATAGCTGTGAAGCTCTTTATCTAGGCCTACAGTGGAGTACAGTGATACCTCTCCATTGTGTTTGCCATCTTTTTTTCTTTGTTTTTTATGTTTTGTGGTAATTTTTTTGATTGTTGTAAATCATTCAGAGTGATTGAGTTGAGTAATAAACAAGTGTAAGAAATTGTTATTGATTGGTTGCATAGTCTTATGTTTAGAACGGCTTTTATTATTTATTAATATGATTTCCATGTTCTTGTATCTGTAGCCTAGTTCACTATCTTTCTTGTTTTTGAAACTATATGGAGGGAAAGCTATAATTTTAATAAGGCTACTTTCAAAAGAAATTTATTGTCCCTTCTCCCCATTGCCTCTTTGGGTATTAATTGGATGTTTGTGAAAAGCTAATAGTTAACTTGCTTGGTTTCAGATTTTTATTTTAGACTTAGAGAATATGTTCTCTTCATTCTAGATCTGTAATATGAAAATACTGTTTCTTAACTATCACAAATATAATAAAGATCCCTTATTTTCGCTATCCATCCTTCACTACTACTTGTAAAGTAATGGGTAAATTATTAGGTATCTACTGTTGGCCTAATAGTGGGGAAAAATGATAATTTGCGCTCTGTAAATAAGTAATGTCTGCTTTCTGTCTGATGAAGAAAAGACTGCAAATACAGTATGAGTTTCTGTTGGAGACCCTAGACCCATGACAGATTATAACATTTTTGCTCTTAGTTCATTTTCTTTCTTCCTCTCTTTTTTACTCTCCTATCTCCATGCCATCTAATCCTTCCCAAACAGCCGCAGCTGGGGAACCTGTTGCAGGTAAACCGGACCTTGGGCCGCAATGTACCTCTCACTTCCCAGCTCATCTTGATGCCAAATGGGGCTGTAGCTGCTGTTCAGCAGGAAGCACCTTCCACTCATGCTTCTGGGGTCCACACAGACACAGACCAGGTCAGTGATACCCTTTTCTGGGGTTACCATGACCAGCCTGACCTGTCCTTATCTTGAGTATATAGTTAAATCTCACAATGTCGCTGGATAGAGCATTAATTTGATATTGTGTCCTTGTTTCATGGCAGCATTCATCATTTACTACACACATCAGCTAGAGACCTCATTGTTGCAGTGAATTTATGCAGTTGAACACCTATGTTAATGTTTGTGTCTGTTGTAACCTAATTCTCAGAATGATATGTACCATTTATTGCTGCAGCATTAAATAGATACTTCTGGCATAATGTATAATAAATTATTAAATAAAAATTTTGAAAAAAACTTTATGAAAGGAGATTGTTCAAATAAGGGGTGAGTGGGAATTAATTTGCTACAGGAAATTGGAAACATAAAGGTTGTAATGATTTAGCTAACTCATGATCTGTAGAGATTGTAGAATTACTGGCTTGTAATTCTAGCCTACTTGATCTCTGAACACTATCTTTCTCATCACTTCTTGGTACATTGGAAAGATGGAGGTGGGCCACACTGTTCTGCATTTTCTATCCATATTTATTTTCCATCTTAAATGGTGTTTCTTTATAAAGATCAACTTCTGCCAGTTGGAGTTGTAGGAATATGGAACATGTAGTTATCAGAATACTGTAACATCATTCTGAAGGAATTTGCTCAGAACTCTATTCATATGGGGGAAATAATTTTTTATCTAGTTCTGCCCAGGAAGTGCCATGTGATTTTAACTTTAAAGAGAAGAGATTAAAACTTTGCCAAAGTAACCAATTCTTTTATAAATTACTTGATCCTCCTTCCCTGTAGTATTTGGTGATATTGGCTAATATCATTTTGGACCCAAGAGAAATTGGGCAATTTTCCTGCAGGTTGAATAAGAGTAAATTTTAGGACATTGTGCCCTTACCTACAGTAATAGCTTGCTCTTTTTCCTTATGTTTTCCAGGTGCAGAATTTAGCTATCAGGAGCCAGCAGACTTCAGCAGCTAATACACAACTCCAAGCTTCTACACCAAAGGCTACTTTGCCAGGGAATTCCCAGTCTTCAGTACTACCCCAAGCTGCCCATGCTGGCCAGACCTTGACAGTAACACAAGCATCTTCTGGCAATGTAGGCCAGTCACTCAATCTCAGCCAAGGTGCAACAGGAAGTAATGGCATTTCTGGAGGTGTGGCCTCATCAGTAGGGAATCATGCTACCACTGGATTAAACCAGTCAACTTCATCTGGCCTGGCATCTAACTGCCAAAGGAAAGGCACTGGCGTGGTTCAGCCTTTACCAGTACCTTCTACTCCCCAGGCAGTAACTGTGAGTCAAGGAAGTCAGACAGAGGCAGACAGTGTGGCAGCAAAGAAGGCTGAAGGTGATGGTAATGGGCAACAGACTGTGGGCATGAATCTGACCAGGACAGCTACACCAGCTCCAAGCCAAACTTTGATCAGTTCTGGTATGTTAACGTGTGATTATTTTCTTTGTGGAAAGCCTGCCAATGTCTTCTTGAACCTTTTTGTATTCTTTGATAAGAATACAGTTCACTGTTTTTATAATTGCTACATGTCACAGGAAAGATAGACTTCAATTAGGAGTAGCCGATTGGTACTACTTGTTATGTTGGATTAGATTGGAGAAAAAGCTGCATGGTTCTTGTTCCTAGTAAAGAGAGCTATGTTTTGTCACACTGTCTTCATTCTCAGTGACTGAAATACTGAACAGGCAAAGCTGTTTTCTGCAAGGATGAGAAATAAATCTAACACAAGAGCAACTTCTCCTTCCATACCAGTGATAGCAAGGATTGGACATACACAATTCCTTTACAATAAGCAATGTTTCTCAATCTTGGCAACTTTAAGATGTGTGGACGTCATCATATGGCTGGCTAAAGAATTCTGAAGTCCCCCCACCTTAAAGTTGCCAAGGTTGAGAAATACTGTCATAGAGAAAAAAATGCTCCCAGTGTCTTTGCCTGTTTGATAGAAAGGGCTAATTTTTGATTTGTGAATATCTTTATTCATCAATATTAAGAAGAGAACAGAAAGAAAAGGTTCAAAATACTGTGTATGAATCATCTTTTGCAGTTAGATGAGTGGGTACAATTAAATGGTTTTTAATTTGCTAGGCTTTCTTGGTTTCTCCTTTTCTTCATCTTCCGTAATTGTTATCTTTTAGGGTGTGGGTATCTGACTTCATTTTCTTACATTACATTGAAGTATTTAGTGATGATGCTAAACCTTTTTCTTGCTGTTTACAGCCACGTATACTCAAATCCAGCCTCATTCACTGATCCAGCAACAGCAGCAAATTCACCTCCAGAAGCAAGTGGTGATCCAGCAACAAATTGCTATCCATCACCAGCAGCCATTCCAGCATCGTCAGTCCCAACTCTTACACACTGCTACACATCTCCAGCTGGCCCAGCAGCAGCAAGCTCCACCTGTGACCCAACAGCAGCAGGGGCCAACACAAGTTTCTCAACAGGCCCCATCTCTTCATGGCCAACAGCAAGCTCAGACTCTTGTTGTCCAGCCCATTTTGCAGTCACAACCTCAGCCAGTGCAGGTCCAGCAGGACAGTCATTGCCAGACAGTCACTAAGACCCCTGTCCCTATTCAATCAAAGCCTCCCATAGCCCCTCTGAAACCCCCACAAATTGGTGCTGCCAAAATGTCAGCCTCCCAGCAGCCCCCACCTCATATACCAGTACAGTTGGTAGGAAATCGTCAGCAAGGTTCAGCTCAGGCTCAGGCATTAGGGCTTCCTCAGATGAACACAGCTGTGCAGCCCCCCCGAGGTATGCCAGCTGTAGTGCAGCCAGTATCCCAAACCCATACGGCATCCTCATTAGCACAGATCTCTTCCTCTTCTTCTTCCTCTTCTTCTTCGGTATCATCATCTCCACCACCACCTTCTCTACAAGAAGCCCTTCTTCCGGTCACTGCTGGAACCAATGTGGCACAAGTACAGAGCACAGCGCAGGTGAAGAGCACTACTTCATCTCCAATCCTTACTCAAGCAGCAGCCACAGCATATTATGTACAGCCGGTCCAGTTATCAGTAAGTGGCCCCTTGCCATTGTAGTGGGAAACAATTGGAGGGGAACAGGTATGATGGGCTAACTTCCCTAAGCAAGCTAGTCTGTTATTGATAAAAAATTCATTTTGCATCTGAGGTTTTCATAACACTCAGTCAGATAAGGTGATGTTTAAATGAGTAATTGATTTCCTTAGATTTCTAGATAGGTGAGACAGAAATTGTTGGTTTCTTTTGGGGGAAGGTGCAGTTGAAAGAGATAGATAATCTCTATTGTCTGTGGTTCTGCTGTTGCTTCTTTCTATGCAGCCTTGGTTTGATGGCTGGAATCTTGGATTTTAATAATGCTTAAAATAGATTGTAAAATATGTTTGCTAAAATATATGTAACATTTCAAAGTGTTTCTCCTGTACAGAGCAAGCCCCAGGCTTTGGCAGTCAAACGCAAGGCAGAATCTGAAGAGGAGAGAGGGGATTCTAGTATATCATCTTTCCAGGCTGTCAGATCCTCTCCTGTGGCTGAGACCCCCAAAATCACAGAAGATAAGGGTGGCCTTGGAGGTGAGGAGAGCAGAGCTACAGTTTTCATTGTTCTTTTAATGGTTCACACATAAGGATTCTGTGCCTATGCATTAGTCTATTTGGAATGTTCTGAACTACAAGATTTCTGTTGAGATTCCTCCCATTCTCAATAATATACATAAAGAAAGAACTTCAAGCTCAAAGAGACGTTTGCATTCAGAATGCTTGACTTCTGGGTATGCAAGAAACCACTGGACCTAGGTCACTATGAGAAAAGGCAAAGAATAGGACCTCAGATCTGAATCTGGCATTGAGTTTGCCAATCCTACCACTTCAGTTATGATAGAGAGGTTGTTCCTATCCTGCAGTTGCTGCCTCTGTTAGCCTTCCCATTATTGATTGCATAGAAACCCATCTGTGGCTGAGAGTCAGCTCATTGATTTTTGCTTTATGAGGGAAAAATTGAGAGTATATGCTCCATGAGTACAGATCTACGTTTGTGCATGATGCTCACCAAGTGACTCAGATTTTCTGTGGGTTTAATTGTTTTTGTGATGTTCTCTTTGGATTTGATGCACAAAGACACTATAGTACAAGCATGTTCAGCATCGACATTTTTCATCGTTATTTCTCTCACCATCCATTCATTTGGATTATAACTAGGTAATTCACCCTTATCCATTGCAGGCTTCTCATCCCTCAGTTTTACTAAAATAGCTTAATATCATCATGGGATATTAATGGCCATTTCTAATAATTTCTATCAGGCAAGAGTAAATATTTGAGGTGTCCATAAAATGAAAAAAATGTTTTATTTCATTCCTCCTTCTTCTCCCAAAAAAAGGTTACATTCTGGAACTTCTGCCAGATCAGAACCTTCTGAAAAGTCACAGTTTTGGCTTGAGAGATGGTTGAACTCATGACATCTGCCAATACCATCTGACTTGCAATATTTTTTTGATTTATTGCTTCATTTTATTCCTGAGGATAGTTGCAGAAATTCCTACTTCATTTTCATTCACAATATTTCAAAGTTGGGGAATCTCTTAGGTTTAGAAACAAATTCCAAAAAACAGCATATTTTATTATCCCACGTGAATTAGTTTATTGGCAAATATTAAGATATGACCAAGAGAGCTACTATCTTCCTTGAAGACCATTTTGAGTATGATGATTATCTGTTCTCAAGGAAATCCTGTCATTTTACTACTTGAGCCTAGTTCATCCTGCACCTCCTAGGTACATGGTGTCAGTAACTCCCATCAGACGCTTTGTTCAGAGTACTTCAAACATGATTTTTCAAGTTGGTTCCTATTCTCCAGCACAGGAGATGGAGAATCCACCAATGGGTTTAGACTGTATTTCTGCCCAATCAGATCAAGTCAGCCAAACGTACTACGCCTGTCCTGGACTAGGGTGTCCCAGTCTCGACTTGATCTTGCCCAGGACAGACGTGCAAGTTTGGCTCTTAGGCAGGTAGACTACCATTGGTGGATTTTCCATTTACCCTGAGTCTCCTGGGCAGTGCTGAATTCAGCGCTGAGCCAGGCTGACTTCTCCTATTCCAAATTCCCTTTTCCATCTGTTCTGAGCACAAGCCTTCCCTTCTCCCTTGGCAGCAACGCTCCAAATTCTCCGTTCTTTTCCTTTTTCACTCAAACAAAAGGCTTACCTTTCCCTCTCTCCCCAAACAGCACTGGGATCAATGCTGTAGCTCCCCTGCCTTCACTCAATTCCCCTCTTCAGCCTCTTAATCCTCTCCTCTCGTTTGGTGGAGCCTGCGGCCGCAGCTCCAGCAGTTGAACATGCGTGCGCCAGTGGTGAATCGGCTGCTTTCAAATCAGCTGAGAGTCGGCCATTTGAAGCAGCGCGCATTCGGAGGGAGCTCGGATGAGCCCCTCCCGGCCTCAGAGCATGGCAGCCGCCCTCTGGGTGGTCGCGAACACTCTTGTTTGCTGGCAACCTTCTCCGAAGGTAGAAAGAGCCGGCTCGTCATTCTCGCAGTGTCTGAGGCTTCAGGGACATTCTCCTCACGTGGCTGCCATTTTGCGGACTGCGTGGCCGCCCGATTCATTGCCCAGGGAGACACGAGGCGGGGGGCTCCCTCCATCTTTCTGCGCCCCCTTGCTTATCTGCCTCAGGGGTGGGCAGGATCAGGCAGGACAAAAAGAGACCCAAAACGTGATCCATCACTCCTCAAGACCAGGAGTGCAGTCTCTAGAGCATGGCCGCCACTGTTATACAGGCCTCAAGGCCTTACCCTCAACAAGAAATTCCTCAAAGATCTCTAGGTGGTAGCGCCTTTTTCCCTTTTCCTTTCTCTTCTTGCCAGAATACTAAAGACTTAGTGCATATATATTCTCCTTTCCAATTTTCTCTCAAGATCTTGAGCCAGTGTCTCCAGACCTGGTCACCTCATTGCGGGCAGGGACTTTGCCGTCTTACAGGCCCGTCCGTCATGTAAGCCGTGTTGCCATCTCTCCAAGCAGCTGGCCAGGCAACACTGCGCAGCTGCAGACGCGACCAGTCACTCAGCAGTACCAGTCTGGTGACCAGGGGAGCAGGGAGGCCAGTCATTCCCTGCTCTTTGCTCCTTTCCTTTCTCCACGCCTACACCTCCTCAAACAAACCAGGGTACCCTCTCATGCACCTGTGTTTATTCCACCAAAATGGAGGACAATATGGTCTCTACGAGCAAGGATACCTTACCTTCCTCCTCAGGCTGGAAACGGCATAGATCCTCCAATCAGGAGGTTGCTGGCAAAATCTCGGCCAAGGCCAAGGCTGGGAAAACCTCCAAAACAGCGGAGAAGCAGGCAGCAGGAGACACCAGGCCCTGGAGAAAGAATTCTCCAAAGCACAAAAGCAGGCCAGGTTTGAGGCCGAACAGGCCGGGGCCCCTCCTTTTGACTTATCCCTGGCCCCCTCCCAGGGGGTCTGGTCACCAGGAGAACTTCTCTCTTCTACTGTTCCGCCTGGTCCAGATCACGACGTCTCTCAATCTTTACCGTTCCATGAACCCAGCGCCCGGTGCCTAAAGCCACCTTCACTCCTACGGCTGCTGGACTCAGGACAGCCGAACTGGGCAACCTTTCCCCTGAGGACCACCTTCAAGCGATAGAGCGAGCTCTCGAGGTCGGGTCACAGGCACCCAGGGCTGAGTCGGTTATTTCTCTACCGATCCCCCAATCAGCTACCACGGCATATCACACGCCTTCTTCCCTATCCCAGTCCTCATATTCCAGGGCTTCATGTCCTCATGAGTACGATCCAGAGTTAGATGCCCCATGGTGAGACGAGGATGATCCTTCCCTGGAACAACTAGCCTTTGGTGGTCTGTTTAATCCTTCTCTTTTTCTTCCCCTGCTCCGCAAGGCCAGTTCCACAGCTCATATCGGGCCCGATTGCTTGGTGCCAGCAACAACAACTGCACTAGACTCAGAGGCAGATCCGGTCTTCACCGAACTGGTAACAACCAACACCATGTGCCCTGTCCACCCCTTTTTCTCAATGCGGTCCAGAAACAGTGGGCCTCCCTGGGCACCTTTCCCCTCCCAGTGGGAATGACAAAAAACTGTTCAGCATTGCCCAAGATTTGACTGATGCACTGGAGGTGCCTGCGGTGGATGAGCCCCTGGGTCCTCTTGTATCCCCTACCGCTATCTCAGGGGATATATCTGAGGCCGTGAAGGCAGAGGATCGCAGATTGGAACTGACATTCTGCAGAACCCATCAAGCTGTGGCATGGGCTATTAGAGCAACCACCTCAGCATCCTTTTTTACTAGGTCTTCTCTCCTCTGGCTCCGTCAGCTCCAGGCCAGGATTCCCCCGGAGGATATCCGTACACATCAGGACCTGAGCAAACTAGTAGCAGCTGCGGAATATGCTTCCGACACAACCCTACATGCTGCCAGATTTTCTTCCAGGGCCATGGCATCTAACGTGACAGCACATCGCATGCTCTGGTTAAAACACTGGCATGCTAATGCTAAACCCAAATGGCGCTTGTCAGCAGCTCCATATCAGGGAGGTAAACTATTCGGGGAAATAGCACCTTACCTGATGGAAAACAAGGACAAACATAAGGCACTCAACCATCTCATAAAGCGAGCCGATAGACGGGCCAACCCTTACACCCGGGGACAGTCCTTTAGGTCAGGTGATAGAGGTACTCCAGATTCACAGGTTCTCAGTAGATTTCTCCAGAAGCCATATGGTCCCTACGACCAGGCTATTGCACCTAGGGACTGTCATAGACAGGGTAGAATGCCGGGTCTATCTCTCCCAGGAATGCCGGGACAGCATCCGGGAGTTGTTCCTCCAAATATACAGAGACCGAACAGTGACGCTGGCCATCCTCTCCCAATTATTAGGGAAAATGATTTCGGCCATAGCAATCGTCCCAATAGGCCAGGCTTCATTCCAGGAACCTCTAGTGGTTCCTACTCCCCTTCCAAAGACTCAACACCAGTTCCTCCAATTGGAGGGTAAGAGTCCCTCGTCACACCTTGAGATCTCTCAAGTGGTGGCTCTCGCTGGCCATGCTCAGAGGATCCTACTTCAAGGAACCTGATCGACTCACCCTTACGACCGACGTCAGCCTGTTCGACTGGGGAGCGCACCTCGGTCACAGTGGGTCCAAGGCCGGTGGTCTCACTCAGACGTCCAGCACAATATCAACTGGCTGGAGCTCGGCCATATACCTGGCACTCTGTTACTTCCGCAGCATGGTAGTGAAGCGTCACGTATTGATACTCACAGACAACGTAACTGCAAAAGCCCATGTGAACCAGCAAGGGGGCACCCGATCCCGTGCACTCAATTGCTGGGCTCCTGTGCAGAGACCAACCTTGCCTCCATCAAGACCGACCACATATCAGGGGAGGCGAACAGAGAGGCAGACTTTCTAAGCAGGTCGACAGTGGACCATTCGGAATGGCGTCTACATCCAGATCTCTTCAGGGAGATCTCCAATCGCTTCGGCTTACCAACAATAGACCTTTTTGCCTCCCCGACGAACACTTATCTACCGAGGTTC